GGGCTGCAGAGCTGGAGGTGACCCTGGGAGGAGGCAGGCTGGGTGACCCATGAATACCATGCACATTACACAGGGGACAGCCGCAGTGTACGCAGGAGCTGACCGCTGGTGGCTCTCTACGGTCGTTGTGAGCTGTCAGAGCTGGGAGCTTTTGCTTTCCTTTTTTTGGCCTTGGCATGGATCGCAGAAGGAGGACCCAGCACTCCTCATACCTCCTTTGGAGATGCTGACGCTTCCCTGAGAGGCCCACTCAGAGGAGATTGTCAGTCAGTAACATTCAAGCGCTCACTGTGTGCTGTGCACCATTCTCAGGGCTTTTACGTACAACGTCTTGCAGTCTTCACGATACCCCGTGAGGAGGCGCTGCTGCTCTCCCCACCCTCAGATGAGGAAGTGGAGGCTCTGAGAGCTTAATGCTGCTGTGCCCTGGGTCACACTGTCTTGTAGGTGATATGGTCAGAGTAAGAGCTCAGGACTCTCTGACCCCAGAACCACAGCTCTTAATCATCCCCTGTACTCTTCCCTCTAAATGCAATTTTGAGCCCTCCTGCCTCTTGGAGCTAAAAATATAATAAGGCGGGAAGCTCTGTTTCATAAGAACTGCCATCACTTCTCCCTCCTTGCCCCAGGTGGGACTACAGGCGCCCGCCACCATGCCTGGTATAATTTTTTGTATTTCTAGTAGAGACGGGGTTTCACCATGTTAACCAGGATGATCGCGATCTCCTGACCTCATGATCCACCACCTCGGCCTCCGAAAGTGCTGGGATTACAGGCGTGAGCCACCACACCCAGCCAATCGTTTTAATTATGATTATTATTATTTTTTGAGACAGGGTCTTGCTCTGCTGCCCAAGCTGGAGTGCAGTGACATTATCACAGCTCACTGCAGCCTCAACCTCATGGACTTAAGCAATCCTCCCACTTCAATCCCCTGAGGAGCTGGGACCGTAGGTGTGTGCCACGACGCTGCCTAATTTTTAAAAATTTTTTGTAGAGACGTGGTCTCACTTTGTTGCCCACACCGGTCTTGAACTCCTGGGCTTAAGCGATCCTCCCATCTTGGCCTCCCAAAGTGTTGGGATTACAGGTGTGAGCCACTGTGCCCAGCTTGCTCTTAGTTCTGAATTTCTTCACTTTAGATGTTAACTGTTGACTTCTTCCTATGGAAGATTTAGCTCTCTTACCCACCCACCATTCGCACACGTCCCCTCTCCATCCTTCACTATCACCATATTTGGCTAATTCATTACTTGGTGTTTACATTATGATGATGTCATTCTTTTTCCCAGTGAGCCCTGTAGTCTACTCTGATTTTAATTCCCTTTGTGTACAATTTTTTGTTTTCTAAAAACAAATTAATAATTGCCTCCCTTCTTTTTGCTAGCTTAGTTTTTATGTGTACATTTGACCCTGAAACAACATGGCTTTGAACTGCGCAGGTCCACTTATAGGTGGATTATTGTAAACCAAATACAGATCAAAAATATAGTGTTCATGGAATGTGAAGCCCACATACGCAGAAGGCCAACTTTTCATGCGCTGATTCCGCACTTAATCGGGGGACTTGAGTACACACAGATTTTGGTATATGTGGGGCTCCTGGAACTAACCCTTGGCCCCCCAGTATGTTGAAGGACAGTGATCTATATCCTTAGGGTTGAGTCTTTACATGGATGGTCTGCTTGGCTGGTGTGTGATACGCACTGCATAATAATGTGGTAGGGTTGCTCCGTTCATTCATTTTGCTCTGACTTGGCGGGCTCTTTATTTATTTTGTTTTTATTTTTTGAGACAGAGTCGTGCTCTGTCGCCCAGGCTGGAGTGCAGTGGCACAATCTTGGCTCACTGCAACCTCTGCCTCCCGGGTTCGAGTGATTCTTCTGCCTCAGCCTCCCGAGTAGCTGGGATTACAGGCGCACACCACCACACCCAGCTAATATTTGTATTTTTAGTAGAGACGGGGTTTTTACCATGTTGGCCAAGCTGGTCTCAAACTCCTGAGTTCAGGTGATCCGCTGGCCTCAGCCTCCCAAACTGCTGGGGTTAAAGGTGTGAGCCATGGCGCTTGGCCTTGGTGGCCTCTTTAAATCAAAAAATCTCTTCAGTTCTGGAAAATGTTTTTGTATTATTTATGTAATAATTTTCTTTCCTGTTTTGTTTGCTTTCTAGAATTTTTATTAGCCAGACATTGGACCCTGTGAATTGACTTCCCAATTTTTTCTGTTTTTTCTCTCCTTTTTAGTCTGCTTTCTGGGAGTTGTTTTTGTTTGTTTGTTTTTTGTTTTTGAGACAGAGTCTGACTCTGTCGCCCCGGCTGGAATGCAGTGGCATGATATCAACTCACTGCAACCTCTGCCTCCCAGGTTCAAGTGATTCTCCAGCCTCAGCCTCCCGAGTAGCTGGGACTACAGGCATGTACCACCACACCCAGCTGATTTTTGCCTTTTTAGTAGAGATAGGGTTTTGCTATGTTGGCCAGGCTGGTCTTGAACACCCCCACTTAGGTGAACCATCCACCTCGGCCTCCCAAAGTGCTGGGATTACAGCCGTGAGCCACTGCACCCGGCCTACTTTCTGGGAGATTTTTTTCCAATGTTAACTTCTCTCTTTCCTGTTAATTATTTTTAAGCATTTATTCTGTGTTCTTTATTAATACATCTTTTCTCCTTTCTCTTCCTTTTCTGAAGCAGCAGTGTTGGATTCTGTTTCATGTGAGGGGCTTTCCTCAAATCAGTGGGTGGGCTTCACTGCAGGGTACTCGGTAGTTACAGTGGGTGGGGGAACCTGTATCTCAGGGTACTCGGTAGTCACAGTGGATGGGGGAACCTCTACCTCAGGGTACTCGGTAGTCACAGCGGGCGGGGGAACCTCTACCTCAGGGTACTCGGTAGTCACAGTGGGCGGGGGAACCTCTATCTCAGGGTACTCGGTAGTCACAGTGGATGGGGGAACCTCTACCTCAGGGTACTCGGTAGTCACAGTGGGTGGGGGAACCTCTACCTCGGTGTACTCTGTAGTTACAGTGGGGGGAACCTCTACATCAGGGCATTCGGTACAGTGAGGGAACCTCTACATCAGGGTACTCGGTAGTCACAGTGGGTGGGGGAACCTCTA